ACCCTGGAAAATGGCAGCTGAGACTCTGACAGTGGGAATGATCTTCTTGGTCCAGATTTTCCCTGGAAATCTCCCAGAGTTCTACCTCTTATGCCATCATTCCCATACTACAGGGGAATCAGGGCAGTTTGAGAGGTTTTTTCCCTCAGTCACCTAAATGTAGCAAAGTGTTGATCGTTCCTTCTAGTGGAATCTCAGACATCTTGGCAGTCCTTTGGTTGGAAACATTCTCTCCATGATTTTGGATCGATACTTATTTTCTAGGTTCACAGACTGTCCAGAGGTGTGTCCATTGGCAACAATGGCCCCCTGACTGTCTTCCAAGCCATCACCATCAGTCCCAGGATCTCCAGGTGGGCAAAGCATTAAGTTACAGTCCCATGTTCCACCGGCCCCTCCAGTGTCCTCTGCCGGATCCTATGTGAGCTTGTAAATACCACACTTTGTATTTATATGTGTGACAGGAAGAATGACACATACATCATAAACACTGCTATACCTTGTGAGGCTCACATAGACTTACTCTGTGCACCATACAGATGTATCGCAGATGTTTTGTGTTTAGTAGGACTCATTAAGGTTGTCATTCTGTGTAAACACAACTTTAGGAGCCAACACCTTCACAGGAGCAATATCACGCCTAGATCCTCCCCTGAGAGGACAGCTACGACCCCAAGCATTCTTGTCCTCAAGAGCACTTTTGTAACTTTTTATACCGTGTCTGCCGTCATAGAAATTTTTTTTTCTCTTTTTCATTAGACTATGGGGAAAGAAGTGAACAACTCAGCCTGAATCAGTGCATGTTTTCCACCTGCCAGTCCCTTTATTCTCTTGAGTGATGACCACTGTGTATCCAGGTCCTTCTCTGTATCCTGGAGGAGTCACAGAACTTCCTCATCTCATGAGAAAATGTAGTCTGTTTTCCTCCATGTCAGTCATTTATATTTTCATGCCTCACAGGGTGTCATGTACAATGAGCCAGTCACATTGCAGGTGAAATTGTGAATTAGATAATCTATTGTAGTAATAAATAATAAATTATCACTATACAATGAATACTTTTATAATTGTTACATAATTATCCATAAAATTATGTTGTACTAATGGTACCAGTCGATAAAGTCCAATCAGTAATAAAATAGTTTTTCCTAAAAGAATGCAAAGATATTCAAAATATCTTTGAATGTGTATCTTTCAATATAAGGTATTATATTTGCTTATTATTTACCTGACTGTGGGGTTTTGAGGATAGCCCCATTTCCCCTCTCTTCTTCTGGGACTCCTATGATACAAATGTTATTATGCTTTATGGAGTTGCTGAGTTTCCTAAGTCTATATTCATGATCTAACATTTTTCATTCCCTGTTCTTTTCAGCCTCATTGTTTTCCATAATAATTTTATTTTCCGTATCACTTATTCATTCCTCTGCTTCTTCCATCCTGTGGCCATTACATCCGTTTGGTTTTACATCTCTGTTAATAGGTTTTGTTTTTGTTTTTGTTTTTGTTTTTTTGGCCTGACTAGATTCTAGGTGTTTTATCTCTGCAGTAAGGGTCTCTCTGGTTTCTTTTGTGTTTTTCTCAAGCCCAGCTAGTATCTTTATGATTGTTGTTTTAAATTCTGGTTCAGTCATATTACCTACATCTGCTTTTGATTAGCTCCCTGGCCATGACCTCTTCTTCTTGCTTCTTTTGGAATGAATTTCTCTGTCTTGGCATTTTGTCTAGGTCTCCATGTTTTGTATGTTAGAGAAGCTTGTGCCTGTCCTGTGCCTGTCCTTCGACTAGAGTCGAAACTTTGCAGGACTCTATGATCAGTATTCCTGGTGCCTGTGGGGGTTTGTCCTGGTATTCTAGGAGACTGACCTGTTGTTGCTCTGGCTGTCTATCATACTTGCCCTATTTTATAAAGGCACCTGCAGGGGGCACTGCACTGTGCACACTGCACCCTTATTAAAGTCCATCCCTGTGGATGGGAGGGATGAAAATGGCATTGGCTCACTCTCTTCCCAGGGAGGGGAGTTTGCCCCTGCCACTGCTCAGGAAGCCCTCACAGAGGAGCAAACAATCTCCCCTCTGTGTCCAAGGCTTCCGTCAGATCCCTGCCTTCACCCGGTCTCCGTCCCTGCTGTCTGCCCTGGCGGCATGGCACAGTACGCTGTGTTTTATCTTAGGCATGTGGCTGGGTTTCAAAAGAAGAGGTTGACTTAGTCTTGAGACTTTAAAAGAAAATCTAAAAAGTTCCCCTACCCTCAGACACTCTAATAATCAACTTCCTTTTTTCTCATTGTATGTGATCGGGAAAGGAATGCGCTCAGAGTGCTCAACCAAAAACATGGAGACCATTTCCCCATAGAGTATTATAGCAGTTAACTGGACCATATGGCTTGGCAACATCCGCCTGGCCTCAGGGCCATTCCTGCCACTGCCTCTTAGTTAAGATCCCTGAGGAAATAGTCATGGGGTCCCCTTTAACAATCTTGTGCTGTCAAACTCCAGGAAATAGACTCTTGGATCACATGACACATGTAAAAAGGGCCAAATCCTGACTGGACCTGCACACCATCTGGTGCTCTGAAGGCAAAGACTTCCCAGAATTGAAACAGATAACATCTGGGGACACAGCTTTCCCAAGATTTCCAGACCAGACCTGTATACCTTTTCTCACTGTTGCTTCTTTTATCTCTTCTGTGGAAAGAAAACGTCCTTTATCTGCACTTCCCAATCTCTTAACAAAACCCTGGTTATGACCTTTCCAGAAAGAGTCACATTATGATCCTGTCCACATTTCTGAAGGTTTAGATGTTCCAGACTTCACAGAGATTTTCTTTATCAAACTATTACCAACTCTGGAGTTTTACCAAATGCATGGTTTCTGAATTTAACGCTTTTTAAAATATTATGGATAGCACGTATGTTTCTCAACAATTATTTTGAGATCCCAATACATTTCTTAAATATCTTTGAAGCTTTGCACTTTTTGCAAAGATGTCATCAACTATTGCTTCATGTTTACACATGTATGCTATGTTGCAAAATACGCTAGGTTACTTGATTCAGTGTGCTCTCATAGTGTTACACATGTTTGCCTCCTAGTCAACTTAAGAGGTGACTTCCAGGAGGCATATTGGTTTTGCCTTCACAGAGAGAAACATTTCTTCCCTAAGTCCAGATAAGTGACAATGAATATTTTCAGTTAGCTGCTTTCAGACTTAGAGAACCAACGTACAGTTTGGAATTATCATGTTGTATTTGTTGTTTATCAATCTTTTGCAGAAAGGATGTGTCCAATAAGATGATGCTGGCCCAACACTCACAATAGTGAGAAGATATAAACTTCAGATGGAAAGTACCTGAGGGTTTTTCCCTTCTAAACTTCCCTGTCTTTTAAATGTAGCTTAAGTGTCTTTGAACTGCTATGCACTTTCGCTCTGACATGAGACATGACAAACGGGCATGGTCCCTCCCGGCACTGAGAGACAAAACCACTAAATTAAATATAAAGAACTTGACTGTTGATCAGTGATGCCTTCAAAAAAATATCTGATCAAAAGGGTGGAATGTGAGACTTAGTAACGGGAAACCTCACTTGCATGGAGTCTGGACGTTTTGATGCCGTCCTAGTCAATTGCAGACCCACCCATTAATAAGAGATGGACCTGGGACTCCTGGTAGACTGAACCAGTGAAGCATGCAACTCTTCATCTCAGGGTTGTAAGTTTGAGCTCCACATATGGTGAAGAGATTGCTTGAAATAAAATCTTAAGAAAAAATAAGAGATGGATTTGGCCTTACATGGACTAAAGCTTGTCCCTAGTTACTAAAAGAGACACTCACCCTGGGCAAAAGATCCAATGAGAAGCTACCACACGTTGAAGTTCAAGTTACTCCAAAGGACTTTTAGTTCATCACAACTTCCCAACATATACTTTTTATCCTTTTTAAAATAATTTGTTCTTTTTTGTTCCCCAGGGGTACCTACAGTTTTACTACAAGTTGTTTTTCCTGGATTGCAATTCTTTTTTATTCCTGAATAAACCAATCTTTTGCTGGTAAAATAATTAGCACTGTCTATTTTTAAGGTTAGCATTACCAACACTTGTCTCTCAAGTATTGGCTTTTAAGCATGGAGCCCCTGAACTTGGGTTTGAGTAACAAGATATCACTACCTTCTCTACTGTTCTGTAAACTTCAGAGGATCAGCAAAGACTGTGATGTTTCACAATGGTGATTGGTGGTCTTCTCTGGGAACCAAGAGAATTTATGTTGAGACACGATGGTGCGTATATGCAGTTTAGGTGTGCTGTGTCATTTTTTGCTAGCTTAGTGTTACTGATTCTGGGTCCATGTGGTCCTATATCAGGACTAGGTGGAAGCTTCTATGATGCCAGTTCATGGACCCACTCTCCAATCCTGAAGCATCACAGTTTCTTCAGGGGAGGTCTGGAACAAGTAATAATTTATATGCACATTAAAGCTCAAGAATCCTTAGTTAAGTGGTTCTGAGCCCAGGCTGTCCATTAGAATAACATGTGAAGTTTCTAATTTTATCACTTGTGCCCTCCACCACAGATTTTGTCAATAGGTCTCAGTAAGAACAACAGTGTTCTTTTAATCATGTGTTTCAGGTGATTCTAAGTGCCATAGTTAAGCACGAGAGCCCCTCAGCAACTTATTAGAATTGAATGCTGGCTGTGGTCCAAGGAGAGGTAACAAGGTCTCCCCTACATGAATCTAGAAGGGTCAGGACCATGCAGCATAGAATTCTTATGCTGTAGTAGAATGTGTGGGTGTCTGTTGGCGGGGAGGCTCCCTGACAACAGGGAAGGAGAAACGGAGGGATTGGTCTTCTTGGAGAAGCTCAGGGTCTTTGAATAGCTCCTGACACACAAAAAAATAGGATGTAGGACTTTTTTTGTATTTCAGTGTCCTGCCTAGAGAGGAGTAGGTAATAGGTGAAGATAGTCTTTGTTAAAGGCAAATGCTCATGATCAATCCAGCTGTGATTTCACCACAAGGGTCTCCCGAGAAGGAAAGCTAGAGAACAAGGAGGAAGAGGATGAAATGGCCGGTTCTCAGGTAAGCCTTGTATCCCTGATTAGAAACTGTGTCATCTTTTCCTCCTGAAATTCCATGCATTTAAAAATTGCAAAGGTTTATTTCTCTAGTTCTGATATTCCTGTCTTATGAGTGTTTTCACCTACTCTTAAAAATCTTTTGAGAGGGCACCTGGTTGGGGACGCCTGCGTGGCTCAGTTGGTTAAGCAGCTGCCTTCGGCTCAGGTCATGATCCCAGTGTCGTGGGACCGAGTCCCACATCCGGCTCCTTGCTCGGCAGGGAGCCTGCTTCTCCCTCTGCCTGCCATTCTGTCTGCCTGTGCTCTCTCTCTCTCCCTCTCTCTCTCTCTGATAAATAAATAAAATCTTTAAAAAAAAAAAAAAAAAAGAGGGCACCTGGTTGGTTCAGCTGATTAAGCATCTGCCTTGGGCTCAGGTCATGATCTCAGGGTCCTGGAATGGAGCCCCACATCAGACTCTTGTTCAACGGGGAGTCTGCTTCTCCCTCCCCCTCCCCTGCTCATGCACTCTCTCTCTTTCTCAAACTATTTTTTTAAAATGATACTGAAGTTTAGCTCTTTAGAATACATCTTTGCTATATTCCAGAAGTTCTCTTCGTTTTCTCCAACCTAGTTTCCAAATAGACATGAACATTTGTCACTTTGAATTACTGTCCTGAAACTTTGAGAAGTGTCCCCTCTCTCTCTCTTTCTCTGTTTTTTTAAAGATTTTATTTACTCATTTGACAGAGAGCACAAGCAGAGAGAGCAGTTGGCAGAGGGAGAAGTAGGCTCCCCACTGAGCAGAAGCCTGATGCAGGGCGAAATCCCAGGATCCTGGGATTATGACTCAAGCCAAAGGCAGTTGCTTAACCAACTGAGCCACCCAGGTGCCCCAAGAAATGTTCTTTTTGACAGATTCACAGGAGAAGGCATTAAATCCACGATTTCTATAGTGGAAGGGCTCAGCTTCTGGGATATCAGTCAAGGAAAACAGTTCATATGTGGGTCCCATCTGAATGCTTTATCAGCAGTACACTAGGATTAGGAAAATGTACAAATAAGCAAAATGGATATGTAGCCCAGAATAGCTAAGAAAGGTCTGGAAAAAGAATCAGAGCCTTCGTCTCTAGAAAGAAAAAAAAAAGATGCTCTATTTATTTTTTTAATTTTTTTAAAAGATTTTATTTATTTATTTGACAGAGATCACAAGTAGGCAGAGAGACAGGCAGAGAGAGGGGGGAAGCAGGCTCCCCACTGAGCAGAGAGCCCAATGTGCGGCTCGATCCCAGGACCTTGGGATCATGACCTGAGCCGAAGGCAGAATCTTTAACCCACTGAGCCACCCAGGCACCCCAAGGTGCTCTATTTATGGGGTTTGAAATATCTATAAATCCACTAGGGTTTTTTTGTTCTTTTTTTTTTAAGATTTTATTTATTTATTTGACAGACACAGCGAGAGAGGGAACATAAGTGGGGGAGTGGGAGAGGGAGAAGCTGGCTTCCCACTGAGCAGGGAGCCCGATGCCCGGCTCTATCCCAGGACCCTGGAATCATGATCTGAGCCAAAGGCAGATGCTTAATGACTGAGTCGCCCAGGTGCCCAAATAAATAAAATCTTTTTAAAAAAAAATACACAACTTATACTGTATGACACAAATACAGTACTCAAACATGTGTATGCCTCCATTGAATCCTTCATTTTCCAATTTCTTTTGAAGAAATACAGAGTATTTAAAGTGTTTCTGTGGTTCATACGCCACCTCGTTACCTCAGCTTTAGAGAATAAATAGAAGCAGATTACTGTGTTAAAAATTATCTTACTGGAAAAAGCAGGAAACTCACCTCAGCCAGAACCATTTGTCCTAACTCCTTCATTACACCTTGGGTAAAATTTTGAGGTCTGCCAGTGGCCACTTGACTGTGGTATTTACTGCAGGGTCAGCTGACGTTCAGGGATGTGGCCATAGAATTCTCTCTGGAGGAGTGGGGACGCCTGACCCACATGCAGCAGGAACTGTACAGGGATGTGATGTTGGAGAACTATAGACACCTCCTCTTCTTGGGCGAGGATAAGGTCCTGTAGCTGAACTAACATGAGTTCACTCCATGATGAGTTACAGGTAGAGGGTACACAAGGTGTAGTTCTCACTCAAAGGAAACTGAATCTGCAGCAAATAAAGAAATCAGGGGAATAACTTCCAAAGCTGTGATCCAAGAGCAGGCAGGGGTGTATGACTTCCTTTTATTTAGGGTTAGGATGAAAATCTGGAAGGGAAGTTTTGTCATCATTCGTAGTGATGGGTATAAGGGAGGCACAAACACATGTGTGCTTAGGAACAAGCCTAAACGTGTCCCGTGTTGTAGCAATGAAATCCACACTCCTTCTTGGGTGGTGAGTTACCGGTGACAGTTTTAGCCTCATTCACTTCATGGGACACGGTTCCAAACCCACACTCAGGGTTTTGTTCCTTCCTGGAAGGAGGTCTCTTGGGAGATTCTTTTTTGCATGCGTAGAATTCAGATCCCTGCCGTAAGGGAAAGAAGTTGGGCTCTGTAGGCGTTGAGCTAAAACTGTTCATGACGCTTCATTTTCAGTTTTAGCTTCCCCTTCCTTAAGATACCATCATCATTACTGTAGATGAGTGATAGTTCTAAACATTGAGTGACATTAAATTGTATTGCCCACATCCTAAATTCTAATTTCAGTCCCTTGTTATTGTATCAGTAATACTTGGCTTAAGATCTGAATATTAGGGGTGCCTGGGTGGCTCAGTGGGTTAAGCCTCTGCTTTCAGCTCGGGTCACGATCTCAGGGTCCTTGGAGTCCCGCATCGGGCTCTCTGCTCAACAGGGAGCCTGCTTCCTCCTCTCTCTCTCTCTCTCTCTCCGCCTAATTGTGATCTCTGTCTGTCAAATAAATAAATAAAATCTTAAAAAAAAAATCTGAAGATTAGAAAACTCTCCTTTGAGTTCTAAAGGAGCTGTTGTGCAACAAAGTTTGGGAAATCATTTTCCAGAATACTACAATGTCCTCTTTTCTCTACTGAGTGCAAAACTGGATTGAAAATTAGAATCTGGGTGCCTGGGTGGCTCAGTGGGTTAAAGCCTCTGCCTTCGGCTCAGGTCATGATCTCAGGATCCTGGGATCAAGCCCCGCATCAGGCTCTCTGCTCAGCGGGGAGCCTGCTTCCTCCTCTTTCCACCTGCTTCTCTGCCTACTTGTGATCTCTGTCTATCAAATGAATAAATAAAATCTTAAAAAAATTAGAATCTCCAGCAATACTCATATTCTTCTTATTATTATTTTAAATAAGTAGGTCTTGTGTCAAAGCCAGACTTGGTCACCTTTTTGGAGCAAAAGAAGGAGCCCTGGGAAGTGAAGAGAAAGGAGAGCATAGCCACACACCCAGGTAGGTGGGAATGAATGAAGCAGATAATGGAGGCGAGGTCTGAAGTTCAAGGAGAAAGCTGGACCTTTACGTGTGATTTGTTCTCGTTGAATGGAAACAAGATTGAGAAGTCTAGGTTTCTTTCTTTGCTATCACAGAGGGACATCTGCTATCCAACATTATCTCTTGCTCTTCCATTCTCTAAGGATCTTCCTTTAGCTCCAGTGATGGTCCGTCAGATCCACAGGGAGGGTTCAGGGCCTCCCCTTGGTCTTTGAGGGTCACAGTGATCTCAGTGCTTTTCCCTTGTTCTTGGGGCCCCAGGGAAATCTGTGCCTATTTCTGAGGATCTGTCTGAGAAGCTGTTTCTAAGTTCTATTTATGCCTCATGTCCAAAGTGTGTGAGGGGAATACTGGGTGTATTGGGGTTTGGTGCAAAAATGCCAGAACACTGGAAACAGACATCACATGTTTTCTGTTTTTTGTTTTTTTTTTTTAAGATTTTATTTATTTATTTGACAGAGATCACAAGTAGGCAGAGAGGCAGGCAGAGAGAGAGGGGAAGCAGGCTCCCTGCTGAGCAGAGAGCCCAATGCGGGGCTCAATCCCAGGACCCTGGGATCATGATCTGAGCTGAAGGCAGAGGCTTTAACCCACTGAGCCACCCAGGTGCCCCATGTTTTCTGTTTTTGATCTCCAATTTTTGAGAGGCTTAAAGCTTAATGGTACAAAATTGAGACACGTTGTTTCCAACCAAAAACAAGCCACCTCCCTAAAATGAGAAATTCTAATACTTCATTTCACTTCAAAAATGTCCTTTTTTTATTGGGGCGCCTGGGTGACTCAGGCAGTAAAGTGTCTGCGCTCAGCTCAGGTCGTGATCCCAGGGTCATGGGATCCAGTCCCACATTGGCTCCGTGCTCAGGGGGAGCCTATTTCTCCTTCTGCTGCTCCCCCTGCTTGTGCTCGCTCACTCTCTCTCAAATAAATAAAATCTTTAAAAAAATAATTCTGTGTTGTTTAATACAAAGGGAACTGAGCCTGAGTCCCATATGTTTTCATTTTCTGATTGGATATATGTCAAACTTAGGTGTCCTTTTAGGTTGAAAAGTTTTGATAGGAAATGCTCGAATGTGCACATATTATGTAGCAAGTAATAGTAGGTACCTATATTTATTAAAATATCTAGCTTACAAATTTAAATTTACTTTAGTAAAAAGTTACTAGGTTTTTCATACATGTCTCTCAACATGTAACTGAGTCATGGTATAACTTAATCCCAGATGTTTATTTTATGTATTAGTGATGCTCAACATTTTTGCAACTTTCATTTCTTCCTTTATTTACAAATGAAGAGTTTTTTGTTTGTGGGTTTTTTTTTTAATTCTTCTATAGGATGGCTTAAAAATCTTATTATTGTGTAAGAATGGGAATGCTATAATAATACTATGATAAATTTCTCCAATGTCTTTTATTTTTATTTACCATTTTCTAAGATTTTTTATTTATTTATTTGACACAGAAAGACACAGGGAAAGAGGGAACACAAGCAGGGGAAGTGGGAGAGGGAGAAGCAGGCTTCCCGCTGAGCAGGGAGTCAGACATGGGGCTGAATCCCAGAACCCTGGGATCAGGACCTGAGCCAATCACAGATGCTTAACGACTGAGCCACCCAGGCACCCCACTCTCCAGTGTCTTTTAAATGCTTGGTCAAAAGTTTTTTATTTCAAACTGTTGCCTTTACTGTGAAAAGTTCCTGCCCTACAATACAGATCATGATTTGAAATGTTTGTGCTCTATGATTTTACAGTCATGGTTAAGACTTCCAGTTATGTGGGAGAAATCTTTTTTTTTAAGATTTTATTTATTTATCTGACAGTGAGACATCACAAGTAGACAGAGAGGCAGGCAGAGAGAGAGGAGGAAGCAGTCTTCCCACCGAGCAGAGAGCCTGATGCCGGGCTCAATCCCAGGACCCTGGGATCATGACTTGAGCCGAAGGCAGAGGCTTTAGCCCACTGAGCCACCCAGGTGCCCCAGAAGAAATCTTTTTTATTTTTTTTTTAATTTTTATTTATTTATTTATTTAATTTTTTTTTAAAGATTTTATTTATTTATTTGACAGACAGAGATCACAAGCAGGCAGAGAGGCAGACAGAGAGAGAGGAGGAAGCAGGCTTCCCTCTGAGCAGAGAGCCAGATGTGGGGCTCGATCCCAAGACCCTGAGATCATGACCTGAGCCGAAGGCAGAGGCTTAACCCTCTGAGCCACCCAGGCGCCCCAAGAAATCTTTTTTAATAGTACATCTATGATGTATTCAGAATTGAGATGGTGAGTTTTCTCTTGTTTTTGCATTTATAACTCTGTATTTCCAACTTTTGGTAGGATCCATGATATTAGTCAACCACGCTTTAGATTTTTACCAACATATTATGATTTTGGATCAAAATTTTCAACTTGTTATTTTTAAAGAGATCTGGGGTTTAATTCAAGTATATATTAGCCATGATTCTATTGCAAACAAAATTCTCTGTGTAATTTTTTTTAAAAAGATTTTATTTATTTATTTGACAGAGATCACAAGTAGGCAGAGAGGCAGGCAGAGAGAGTGAGGGAAGCATGCTCCCTGCTGAGCAGAGAGCCTGATGCGGGACTCTATCCCAGGACCCAGGGATCATGACCTGAGCTAAAGGCAGAGGCTTAAACCCACTGAGCCACCCAGGTGCCCCTCTCTGTGTCATTTTATGTAGGAACATCACTCTGACTCTGCTCATAACTTCTTTATTTCTATTCTTGGTTAATGGTCAATGGTTGCTTTGTCCTGCCTAAGTGAGTAGTCATGAAAACTAAATCTATTTCATCATCTATTTATTCTCTTCACATATTTTTTTTTAAGATTTTATTTATTTATTTGACAGAGATCACAAGCAGGCAGAGAGGCAGGCAGAGAAAGAGGAGGGAGCAGACTGCTTGCTGAGCAGGGAGCCTGATGCGGGGCTCGATCCCAGGACCCTGAGATCATGACCTGAGCTGAAGGCAGAGGCTTAACCCACGGAGCCACCCAGGCACCCCCATATTTTTTTATTTTAATTGTGGTTTAAAAATGGCATAAAATTTACCATCAAAGTATCGTGGACTGAACATTTTGAATTATTGTGCAAACAGTAATTACTTAACCTTTCACATTACTATGCAAACAAGTTCTGTTACTTTCTCTTCTCCCTGCAGGAGTAAAACTTAATGCCTGTTAAAAAAACCACTTCCTCCTTTCCCTCTACCCTAAGTCCCCGGCAGGCACCATTTTAATTTTTTATGAGTTTCATCACCTTAGATGACTCACGTAAGTGGATTCCTACAGAATCTGTCTCTTTGTGACTCATTTCTTTCACTTGACACAATGTCCTCAGGGTTTATCCAAGTTGTATCACGTCATAATGTCTGTATCCTTCCCAAGGCTCAGAAATGTTTCATGATATGTATATGCTATATATATGTTTTCTTTATCCCTTTAACTATGCATAGGCATTTGAGTTGATTGTACCTATTTTGGGCTCTTGTGTGTAAAGCTGAAATGGGCATAAATATGCAAATATTCATTCAGGTCTTTCTTTGAGTTCTTTTCTAATTTCTTTTAAATTTAAAAAAAAATTTTAGGATTTTGTTTATTTGTCAGAGAGAGTAAGCACACAAGCATGGGGAGCAGTAGGCTTCCCACTGAGCAGGAGCCAATGCGGGACTTGATCCCTGGGATCATGACCTGAGCCAAAGGCAGATGCCTAACCAACTGAGCCACCCAGGCCCCCCAAGTCATCTTATTTTGTAAGACAGCTTTTCTCACTTGGATTTCTGAGTGTATCAAGAAATTGCATGAATAAAGCACAGGTAATGGTTGAGAAAATGATAAACTCAATGTCGGAATCCTGAATGCTGCCGGCGGAAGATGGAGATGTTGGGCTTCAAGCATCTTCAGATGGAGGGCAGGCAGTGGCAACCTGAGAGACGTTCCTGGTCTGCCGCCGGAATATCTCCATGAGCCTTCTGAGTGGTCCGAAGAGCAAGAGGCAAGAAGACTGTGTGAACACGGGCCATTTGGCAGTTTCTCTGAAGTTGACCTGGAGCCATCTAGCTTCAGTTTGCAGGAACAAAGGGAAGTTTCGGTTCTCAGTGACGGCAGGTCAAAGGCAGATACCAGAGGAAACCAGAAGAATTCAGGATCCAGCCAGTTTTATAGGCAAACAACATTTAAAAATAGTTCATCATAACTGGAATCTGAGATCCATAAAAGTATGCTATGAAAATAGAATTTTTCTCTCTAAAATTAACCTTTTTTTTTAAAATTTTATTTATTTGACAGAGAGAGATCACAAGTAGGCAGAGAGAGAGAGAGAGAGAGAGGAGGAAACAGGCTCCCTGCGGAGCAGAGAGCCCGATGTGGGATTCGATCCCCGGACCCTGAGATCATGAGCTGAAAGCAGCGGCTTAACCCACTGAGCCACCCAGGCGCCCCTAAAGTTAACCTCCTTTTAAACAAACATACTGAATCAAGACTATTTGTTTATAAAATAGCCCAGGTTTAACAAGCCTGGCCTAATTATGTAAGTGCGGCATGAATAGTGACTGACTTTAAAGTTTCATTGAAATCTGCTTTGCTGGAACCCTTTCTAAGGAATTTCAGATTGAATTTGTATTTTTTAAGTGTTCTTTTTGCTTTGTTTTGGGGCTTGGGGGGGTAATCTTTTGGTAATTTTTTTGGGGTGTAAACCCAACGTGGGGCTCAAACCCATGACCCCAAGACCGAGAGTCAGATGCTCTTCCAACTGAGCCAGCCAGGTGGCCCTCAGAATGAATTTTTAGAGCCTTGTAAGTTTAAGAACCCAGAGCAAATGCCCACCATCACATTCACCTGCAACATCTATAGATGTGGGTTATGTCTTCTCGAGTCCCCAGAATAGCTCCAGGTCCTTAAGCCTGCCAGAAAGGGAGCTTAATTGACTCACCTGGTACTAAGGCTCTTGTGAACACTGACAGCAAGGT